CTGCTTTGTTTTTTTTCCTGAGGGCTCTTTAGCAGCTGCAGCAGTCCTGACTTTTGAAATCTGATACAACTGGCTTTTTCCCCTCATCGTGCCAAGCTCAGTGGAATCTCGTTCAGTTATTGCACTGGGCCAAACTGCCCAGTATACTGCTGCTGTGCTTTCGAGATCATTACCTTTCCTTTGTTATCTTTTAAAAATTATTGCTTTTCTATTTGGGAACTGTGCTAAGGGCATTTTTACCTTGCTAGTATCACGTTGTTCTTAGAATATGGAGAAGGAAATAATTTATCTTCTAATTTAATTTTGATTTGCTCCTACCTTACTCCCTAAACAATCAAGTTCAAATTTATATTTAAAAAATGTGTGTGTGTGTATATATATATGTAAAATATATAATAAGAGAACATTGTTTGGAGATTAAAAATACAGTAGAATATAACCACTGTTTTGCTAGCTAGAGGAAAAAAAAGTAAGATTTTTGGAAAATATTTAAGCTTCTGGGTCACAATCAATAGTATAATGATAATCTAGATAAGAAAAATTGCACTGAATTAGTATTTAGTTCAATAAAGAATGCTGAAGGTACTGAGTCCTATTAGATACTCAGCATTTGGCTTCAGACAGAGGTGTTCTGGCTTTCCACTTGAGAAAAAAGACATAATTGCAAAGGCAAAATGTTGAGAGCCATGAGAACAGTGTATTTCAACGATGGCTTGAGAAGTATTGGGGAAGTTGATCATATGAGTAAGTGTAGTCAGCCACTGTTACTGAAATATTTGTGAAATCTGAAAGTCTCACTTCAAGTTTTGTTACAGTCTTGTGAAATAGGCCTGGCACTGATTTATTTTGAGATGGAGGGAGGAATATATTCAGAACACTCATTACTTACTACCAATTCTTAAAAATCCAGATTAATGTTGCATGAACTGCAAAGCCTATGTTATTTGGTCCAGTCTGTTCTAACCTCATGTAGTAATACAGTTCAATACAACTGGAAAAGAGAACTGAGTCACCTGTGGCTGTACTTAGCATTGAAATACTCCGTGGATGTTCAACTTATCCTCAGACTACCAAGAAAGTGGAAAAACATTTCATGTACTGTTTTAATATGTTTGCCTAAAGGAATTTCTAGATAACATTTCATTTATCAGTACAGTATTGATACATTGAAATGAATTATTCCATGTAATGGTTTTTTACCTTCAGGAGAGTGCAGCTGATGAGGGGTAATGTTAGGAAAATGGGAATGTGACCAGAGAAGGGGAAAGTCTTCCAATTTTGAAACTGTGTTTAGGACATCTGTTTCCTACTATTTTGTTTAAACCAGTGTGTTTTCAGTACCAGTGTATTTTGCTTAGTTTAACCTAAGTATAACAGGTAAGTGCATGTTTAGATTATATTTCAAAATCTTTGAAAAATGAACTAAACTGAATATTGCTCAAATTAGTCTTTTTATTTTTCTTTTTTCTTTTCTTTTTCTTTTCTTTCCCCCTAGGTCTTCTAACATTTATAAATTGTGCCTACGTTAAATGGGGAACACGGGTGCAGGATATATTTACTTATGCTAAAGTCATTGCTCTTATTGCCATCATTATAACTGGACTTGTTAAAATATGCCAGGGTAAGCTTATAAAATTAAAGCAAAGGTTTGTATTTATCAGTTAAAAGGAGTAACTGGTCTAAAGACTGTAAAATAACTCTTCTGTGTTATCAGATGCCTCAGTACAAGCATAATATAGCCACTTTGAAAGCACCAATAATACCAATGTTAGGCATTATAATGATATTGTACTATGAGAAGCTGTCCTATCTCAGTTGACTTTGAACTGGGCAAAAGAAGGTAACTGATGGCTCAGCAGCATTGTGCAATTTACAGCCTGCAGTATGGAATAATAAAGGAAATGAAAACAGCAAAATACAGCGCTAGCAAAATACGACGGGAGCGGAAAAAGCTGTAAGATTCTGTAAGGAATGTACTACTTTACAGTGAGATCAACTGCATAATTATTTTGAAAAATGAATTTTGTGCAAGTCTGAAAGTGACTGAACTTAAAGTAAAAATAGGTTTGTAAGAACATGTGAGTAGATTTGTGGAACAGCAGCTCTTTTTTTGCTCAGATCCTGAGTGCTTGTATAGCTGTTGAGAATTAGAAAGTTGCTGGGGTTTGAGATATTTTTTTAATTTATGTGCATATGCTGGGCATTGTGCCCTCAAGTTGGAGGAATTCTGAACTTGGCTTTGTTCTTATCCCTTCCTTTGGGGAGAATTTATTGGTGCTTTATTAGCTTAAAAACATTACCCTGCTTTCAAACCTGCCGTAAAGGTCAACCCGTGGCAATTGGTGTCCTTTGCTCTAAGCAGTTATTATTGAAAATCCATGAGCAAGGTAATTATTATGAATGAAACAATAATATGTGCATATGAGAACCGTGCTGGAGCATTTAATCTTTAGCACATCTGCCCATCCCTTGTTTTGTTGATACGGAGCTTGTTCACCACCAGCTTCCTTGACGTTCTCTTAACTCAGCAGTTGCTTTGCCAAAGTGTGTGCCAAGGGAATGGCAATGTCTTATTAGGATAGATTAAAAAAAGAGAAGGAAGTGAAGGTGTTTTAGTGGCCTCAAATATTTGCCTGGCCAGTCCTGGTGAAGTCTATAAACACTTCAGGATGCATCAGGGCAAAACGTACAAAATGTACAGGGCACGTTTTGGAGTGACGTAGTTCCTTGCCTTTCTGTATTTGGTGGTCTTGTGTGTGTTTCTGTGTATGTAAAAGAATCTGAATATATAAAATTGCCATGGATGAGCTTGTCTTGACTTGTTTAAAGTCAAAAGGTGGCACAAGTTCTCACAAATACTGGTGCAAAAAATCATACAAGTTTTCTTCTTACCTTGGGAAAATTTCATCTCAAGTAACAATTACATTTTAAGTTCTGTTAATTGTTTTCTGTTTTTAATAGCTAAAACATAAACATCCATTTAGGTGTGGATGGGTGTTCTTGTCATAGCTATCTACAATCAGCTGTATTTTTTTGTTTTTTCATTAAATGATTGCAAATTTAGAAGGATATACAAGGATAGAGTGGATTATTTTATAAATATATATGTTATAGAAGATACCCTTAGCCTGAGTGCTGTCATTGCCAGCTGTTTGTAGCTTGGTCTGAACTTAATGTTCCTGAGCTTTTTGTGCCGTTGTTGACAAAGTAGGTGTTTAACTACAGAACAGTATCATCACAGAGTGTAGTTTATAGTAGTTTGAACGTCATACTTATTCTCATGGCTGAAGCACGGAACAGAATTGGGAAAAGGTTTTAACAAGCAGCTTTGAAGGAATTAGGGTTTCTGAGGTTTTTTTATTTATGTGCCAAATTGAACAAAATTCTTCGCTGTGTTTTATTCCCCTGTACTTCATTGTGTCTCTTCCACATACAGGATATTCATCGCACTTTGAGAATTCTTTTGTGGGATCCTCTTTTTATATTGGAGACATTTCCCTCGCACTCTATTCTGCCTTGTTTTCTTACTCTGGCTGGGATACGCTCAATTTTGTAACCGAAGAGATCCAAAACCCGGAAAGGTAAACGCTTTGTGCTTTCTGAACCTGGATATTTACCAAGTTGCTCATTTTGTGGCTTTCTATCACTAATGAGTTCTGAGCCCATACAGAAATTAGAGCTGCTCTATGCTTAGATGATAAGGCTGGGAACAACCAACAGCAGAGATTTACTAGTTTTAAACTACACTGGAAATGTAAAAAAAAAAAAAGGACAAGACTAAATAAGATTGCAGGATGCTGTATTCAATGTCTGATAAGCTTTCAGTTCAAGATGTTGCTACTGTTAATTACAATAGGTGTTAATATTGCCATGAAACAGGTAATTTTAGTCTATGCTGTGTTTATCTGTGCAATAATTCTGATTTCATAGTTAAGAATGTTGTCTTTTCCTTATGCTCTAAGAGTGTGACTAAACTAATCTTGTTCAGCTGTATGTCTGTAAGCAGACGCCTTTTATGTTAAAAATAGAATCCCATTTGATCATTTTTACTTCCTATTATAAGCACCAGCTCAGATTGCTACAACTGAAGGATAAAGAACAGAAGAGAGATTTTTTTTTTTTCAATTCTCCCAACCAGTTTTGACTTTTTTCCATTTGTTCTGTTACCCCTGAGTTCTACCCCTGTGCATTTATTTAACCTGGAAAGTTACCTTTTGAAAAGATGCAATGGCAGAGAAGTATTTTAACTCTAAAAATAGCTGGTTTTAGGCAGACTGAATTTCAGGCTGACAGTGTTTCCCGTTTGTTGTACGTATTCAGAAGAGACGTATGTTTTGTGTTTGCGTTGGTCGTTTGGTCCTTCAAATCGTTTCTTTTGCTGAAAAAGGTCCCCTTTTGAGTGCTCTTGCAATGCCTTTTCATCTTTTTAAAGTTCATGTATTGTTTTGTGTTATCAGTTGTATAACTCTTGTATTAGATGTATTGTTTTGAAACATAATTTTGCTCCCAGGATATTTAGCTAATGAAAATTTCTTCAGATTCATTTGCTATTTGTAGGCATCAGTGCCTAATACAAACTGTGTTCTTGGTAACAGTTGTAGCTGATAAAATGAACATCACATTTTAGCTTTCTACATTGACAGTTTTGGGGAATAATGAGATGTTCCAGACTACTATAAAATTAATCCAAGAATTGCATATTTTTCATATTCACTTCATTCGTAGTGACCTCGTGCTTGTCCAGTCCAAAAGCTGCAATCCACAAGTTAAATTTGAAATAGTCCCTTGGTTTTAATCTTGAGTGATACAAAGTCCTTAAAATGCCCTTTCAGTCTTTTGGTACAATTGATGTAACTTTTCTGAATTAATTTATAAGTGGTTTTCTAATTCTGTTTCTTCTCTGCACTGAGGTTTGCGGATCTCTTACTGTGAGTGTGCAACCTGGAAGCAGAGCCAGAGCTCCCAGTTACTAATTTACTGATTTATATGGAGGGGATGTGGTGTGTGTTTGGTTTTCTGCTTCCACAGCATCAGACAGACCCAGCTGGAGTTCTGGGCTTCAGGAAGTTTTTGAGGAAATTTCCAAAGTGCATTTATTTTTTCTGCTTTGTTGTGGTTTTATTTGTTTGGGTTTTGTTGTTGTTATTGGAAAATGTGTTCATTGCAAATATTCCTCCGTGTCACCCTGTTATGTTTGATTTCAAACTGGACAAATGCAAGAGTAACACTCTAAGTTCTGCTTTCCCTTTTGAGACATTTGAATATCCCTGCAAGCTTTGAGGAAAGAATGAGACTGAGGAAAACTGAAGCCTAAAATTGAAATTTTGCTTCTGCTCTGCAGAGTTTCTCCCTGTGGAGCTGCAGACTCAGAGCTGTGAGTTTATCTCAGCTTTAAATTCAGTCTTATCAGATTACATGTAGAGGTTTGTAGTGTTTTCATGTTACTCTAGACTTCTTTGGTATTACTTTCTAGAAGTGTTTGTTAGAAAGGTACACGACATCCCAAGATTCACCGCTGTGTTGCAGTTTTTAATCTGCCCTCTGCATCGCCACTTTCTGCCGTTATGCAGCCCAGTTAATTTATTCACTGCAATGATGAGAGCAGATGAGAAGATCAGGGGTTTGGTTTGGTGAAGATCCCTGTATAAATCCTAGAAGTAGGTGTTAGCAGAAGGGCAGCATTCCCCAGGGTGAATGAGCACGGTGACTCAGAGCTCTGTCCCTTTGGGTTCTAGGTGTGGTAATTAACATAGCCAGTAGGAAATAATTTAAAGCATGTAAATTTGAAGGCTATTACTCCTAATCTGGAAACCCTGAAGTTAGGGTACTTGAAGAGCAGTTGCATATAATCCCTTTTTTACACATAACATAGGCTTAAAGTTACTGCAAAAAATTTTCAGTATTCTATGTTAGAATTTCTACTTTCAACACAAACCAAACTCTTCCAGAGATACCTATTTTGAAATCTTGATTCTGTCTTCATAACTTCTATCTCTAGGTGAAAGATGCGAATAGAATAAGTTTATTCTGTTATTAATGGCTTTTTTTCCCTGGGTTGTGGGGTGTTTATTTTGTCTTACAGGAACTTGCCACTGGCTATTGCAGTGTCTATGCCAATTGTGACTATTATCTATATTATGACCAATGTAGCTTACTATACAGTGCTGGATATTCAAGCCCTTCTTTCTAGTGATGCTGTGGCAGTGGTAAGTTGACCATGTGGTATTTTGCTGTATTAGTCGCTTTTCGCCTTTTAGGGATGCATTTGATTTTGAAGAGCAAAACAGGAAAAATCCCTACTTTATTATAGTACTGAATGCAGGAGGACAGAAAACTCATCATGAATAATTGAATCTTAAATAGAAAAGTAGTTCATGAAATAACATATAATAATAATTTATTATCAGATTTGTTAAAACAAGCACAGATGCATCTTGATAATGTAGTTTGCAAAGATGCTAATTAGACTTGTGCACTTTGAGCTGGTTGTAAATTAGACTCATTAGTACATCATTGTTCTCTTCCTTCATGCTGCAGAAAGCTGGCGGTGCACAGAACAGCGCTGCAGAGCTACATTCTGTTAAGCTAATAATTGATGCAATGCATATCTGTAAATGGATGTGCTGCAGCTCAACTAGCATGAAGTTCAGCTTTGTATCTCCTTTCGAATAACTTAAATCACTGTCTTACCAATATTGCGTTCATTCTAACAACTTTTAACTTCTATTTTGAAATTAATTCTTTTTGTATACAGATGGAAGTTGGAACCAATTAAAATATATAAGCTTCTTAAAGTAAAAGCTGGTCAAAACACGTTTTATAGTTAAAACTAATTAAATGAGTGAAGGGTTTTTGGATTGTTTGGGGGTTTTTTTTGCCCTATAGCTAGTGAATTAATTGGATAGTTCTGGTTACTAAATCCTTCAGACTTGGAAAATTTAATCTTCTTTTTGGTTATTTAAATTGGAGGAAAAGAAATAGCTTTCCTTCCTTTTAGATGTCCAACTGCTTTCTAAAATTTAAGTAGTTAGACAATGGACAGAGAGTTTTAAGTACATCAAAATGAAGGAAGTGCTCACTCTCATCCCACAGATGATTACTGTGATTAAAAGCTGGCTTAGCAAATTGGCAGATTCCTGTTTCAGGTGTTTAGGCAGATGGTTCTGCAAAAGCATTTACTTAACTTTCTTTCAAGATGAGAAATATGTATATTTAATGTAAGCTTTCAAAATAGTTTTATCGTAAATGTAGGCTGTAACTTACTTAAAATATAATCATGCAGGTGTTTATTTGAAAATCTCTTGCAAGTAAATAAACCTCAGTTCTTTGCCTCTTTTTAGCTGGAATATGGAAATACAAAATTGTCATAAAAAACATTGTGAAAAGGTTGGTAAAACACTTTGAATGAAACAAAACAAGTCAAGGACGGGTAATATTTTATTTTGAATCAGCATATGATAAGGGTTTGTAAAATCCCCAGCATTTATTTCTGTTGTAGGTCATGGTAGCCCATGTAAAGTACTTTCCAGTGTCTGATAATGGAATTTTAAATTCTTGTCTGGAATTAATGAATCCAGAAAAAAATCAAAGCCAGTACACAGTCCACTGTGTGTCCTGACTTGTGTAAAGCAACACACTATTGTTTTTTTCTAGGACAGATTTGGAAAGTACACTCCTCTGACAGCAAATAAATTCCCCAATCCAGCCTGTCCCCTATGTATTCCGTGCCTACGTTACTGCTCCTGGCCTATGCAGAGCTTTATACAACCTTTTGGTGCATGGGACTGGGAAAACTGATCCACTATGGGGGACTGGGGGCATGATACACTGTGGGGTTGTCCAGTCTACGTTGCTGTACCCAGCAAGTTGTAGCACTGCAGCAGCAGTGGGTGGCCAGATAAAGGAGGGACGATGGATGTCTGAACCTTACTACACATGTGAAACCCAGGCTTCAATTTTTCTGATTTTCTGTACACTTCATTTAGTTGTTCTTTGACATTGTTTTCCAGGAGAGAAAAGGAAGGCTTAAGAATAATGTAAAGTCCTTAGTCAGTCTGATTGCATGCAGGGATATTGGGCGACTAGGATAAGAATGAATATATATGCTTGTGATTTCCAAGGTTATTAGGGGATTTACTTCTTGTGCTAGTTTTAATGGAACTTAACTGAATTAATGACTTTGGAAGTCTAACCTGTGCTTTTTCACTAGATCTCAGGTTTGCCAAATACTTTCGTTTAAAAGTTTAACTGATGTTCTGTCTGAAGGCATTTTTGCTGAGACGTCTCATCAGCTGGCAAACAGTGGTCTTCTGGTTGTGCTACTTACATCCCTTTTAGAATGTCAAGGTGAAACTGCAGCTGAAGTTTAATACTTAAGACATGACTCAAAGATTCATTTTCATTGCTGATATGAGTTCAATTGCCCAGTTTAAGAAACTGACTTTAAGCTTGACCTACTAATACATGAGCAAGTAGTGTGGACCTCAGGAAGGATGTCTGTAGGGTGGAGCAGTTGACGCTGAGGACCTGACACACATGCTCTACATGCTTCAGGAGTATTTTGCTTTGGACTACTTCTAATGAGGTCCTGCGGACTGAATGCTTATGTGTGGTTGGATTGCAGTAGGAGGGTGCAGTAGGTGTGCTTTTGAAATGCATCTTCCAATTTAGGCTGCTGTAAAAGGGAAGGTCCCTTTAGCTCCAGTGCCAAACAGTGTGAACCCAAAAGCAGTCAGTGGCAATCACTGGGAGACTTGCTTCAAAAATGCATTTACGGTCAAAACTGAAACACTGATAATGCACCCATAGTTTTTTAGTGAATGGGGGAAAAAAAGAGCTAGTCTTTAGTAATGGTCTGTATTTGAAAACCCTCCTGTAATACAGAAATGTAAAATATCTTCATGGTGAAATTTCTCTGGCAGTTGAAGGAGGAGTTTATCCATAGTGTAATCTTTAAGAAGACTTTAGGGCATTGTGGTCAGTGGATGAATAAAGAAAAGAGATGAGAATTAAGTCAATCTAAAAACTAATCTGATGAAAATGAGCCACTTTGATCTGCTCACATATTCTACATGTGATACGTCATATAGATTGCTGTACTTTCCTTACTGCCCTCTGTGTAGTTGTAGGGTGAAAATTACCATAATGATATTTCAAGGAAACATGGTAGTAGTAGTGCTGCATTTTAGAGCTTTTTCTGTAGTGAAGCAGCAGCTAAATTTAGTCTTGCTGCTATTTTGGGAAGGAATGGAGTAGCTTTCTTGTATTCATTTCAGTCAAGAGGCTTTGAGCTGGAAAGCTGAGGGGGAGCTATTTCCAGTTTCTAAATGATAAGAATAAAAGTTATAAGTAAAGCAATACTAGTGATGGTGTATCTTTGCACATCACCTTGCATACTGTTTTTCTTGGTGGCTGGGAGGTGAAAGAAATCTTACCAAGGGATGGTATGGAACAAAATTATAAAATCTCCTTTTTTTCCTTCATTGTTAGCTTCATTATGGTATAGGCTAAGAGACTAATTTTTAAGCTCTTTTCTGTTGAAGTAATTGAAGTAATACAGTAGCATCTAGCTTAGAAGTTCTGCAAACGCTCTTCAGACAGTTGCTGATCATGTAAAATTTGCTTCCTTTTTCAAAGTTTCCTGTCAGAGTTTCACAGTTGACTTCTGTTTTACCTCCTTATGCAAACCATCACAACCCTTGCTGTCAATGTTTACCCATATGAAGCAGTTACTCTGCAGCACAAACACACTTGCAATAAAGAAATAAAAGCTGAAATCTATTTCACCTTCCCTTGTCACTGAACAACTATTAATTTCCATCTGAGAGAGCCATTGTATTTTTTGTCTGTGAAGTGGGCAGGTGGCTCCACAAGCACTTTTTGAGTAGCTTCATCTTTTAACAGGAAAGAGCATCCTGGCTGCCAGTGCATAGCCTGTAACCTGCTTCCTGTGTTTGGTCTTGTCTGGGTGTTTTTGATTGAGTTCATATAATAGGTAACATTTGGCAGCTTACTTCTTTTCCTTGGAAAAGCTAAAAATGATTCCTGGTTGAAGCAGTTGCTTGTCCTGCATAGGCAGCCGTCGTCTTTCTTGGAGCTGTACAGCTGTATCTGGAGATCGGGGATAAAGATGACGACTTCAGTTGCATCTTTGAATACCATCTTGTGAATCCAGCATTGATCAACCCAATTTGCTGTGGTGTGCTCATTGCTTTGCTTCGACATGTTCTCTCCCTCAATAAAACAGGATTGGGGGAAGCTGCGTGTTTTAGCCATTTTGTTCTTCTTTGGTGTATAGTTTAATAAATTATGAGTCTTTTTCCTCTAACTAAACGCAGCCAGAAATTCTTAAGTTTCTCTTAGACTTTTTGGGCATTACTTCTCTTCCTTCATTTGGCCAGTCATTGACATCTTTTCTGAAGAGGGAAATCTGCTTGTCTTTAGCTGCCAGTGTCTTGTCCACCTTCTCTGCTTGCACTGGCACCTCCTAGTAAGGTTCCTTTGGATGAAATGCATGTTCTGTACCTTGTAATGAAAGAACTTTTCATTAGGGACAGGCAGTTGCTTTAGAAGAAAGCTGTTTAGTAAGTCACTTGCCTTCTTTTTTTGGAGCTAGCCATAATTCACTACCAGTGCAGCACTCCTGTTGCCAGTTACGTAGGAGTTCTCTGACTTTGGAGACCAAGCTGAAAAGCTGAGCCGGAACTTGAAATAATGCTACATAATATTTTTAATATGAGAAAGTAGGAGACTTTGGAAAACGCTGAACTCGTATTGTATAGCTAGCTATTAAAAATGCTAAGAACGGGACAAACACCTGAGAAGATTTAGATCAAGTATCTTCAGCACCTCCATGAAGACATAAACAGAACTGTTTTACTGTTGGAGCTGGCATCTGTAATATGAATATGGGCCATGCAGAAGAGGCATGGTACATGCAGTAGACATGCAATATATTAATGCGATCGAGTAGTGCTGGTTTCCTTTAGCTTAGGGTTGTATTGAGTGACCTAAAGATGGAGAGAGAATTTAATGCTGGACCTTGCACTCACTGGTACCTCTTTCTCCAAGAAAAGGCATTGCCAGTAACGCAAGGAGAGAATTATGTCAGTTTGAGTAGAATCAATGAACAGAATGGTGGTTGAAACAAGAGTTACAGGAAACCAGAACATTGATATTGCTTCGTTTTGCACCTTTACAATTTTCT